GATCGCCTCTGCCTGTGTGGTTGGGTAGACCACGTGTCGAGCCCTGCAGGTGCTTCGATCCGGGAACGTGCCGTAGGAATTTGCGATGGTGCAGTCCGAATTATCATGTGGCGATCGGCATTTGATGGGGTCTTCCGGAGGACTACACTCCGACCCCAAGATTAAGAAGAATAAGAAGAAGAAGGCTGTAAATCGCCGGAACGACAGATCACAAGACCGCCGCCACATAGACATGGGTTGAGGGTGGATCGGAGCTGATCTGCCTACCTCCTTCTTCTTCTTCTTCTTGATCCAAGGTCGCACCCCTTCAAATTAATTAAATTATACTAAAATAGTCGCCGTTAGAGGAGAATTAAAAGCCTCACATCCCCTCGCCACAAACAATATAATATAACCAACACGGAAAAAAAACAATTAATAAATTGAGAAGATTCGGACTTAGGTTCTACACTCGTTTTTTACTTTTACTAAACCAAATCGAAATTGTTTATAGAGACTAAAGATAAGAACTTATACCAGATTGAAACTTTTCATAGAGACTAAATTTAAAACCAAATCAAATTATAGGACTGTGCCCAAATTCTAGAAACTAAAATGAAATTTTTAAGACCAATTAAAACTTTACCTGCCAAATTTATAACTTAATACAAATCAAATTAACCATATTGAGGCTTGAAGACATGATTGCTCAACCACCAAAAACACCCAATGTGGGAGCCGGAGTATGGGACAATAAACCAACACTTTTAATGTGGGAAATGGGAGTATGGGACGACTCATTCTCTCATTTTAATTATATTATCTTTTAAATATTGTTTTCTCTTCATTTCTACCCTCTTTTTTTCAAATTTTTTATTCATGTCTAATTTATTGTGCTTCGCTAATTACTCATTTTATAATATCATTTCTCATTATACCGCTCATTGACATACTCGCACTCATTTTATTAATTTCTTATTATTTTTTATCTTTTATTATTATAGATTAAAATGATTTACTTGTTTCTAGATTAATATATTTATCAATAAACTAATCTATGTCCACGTGAGTGAGTTAGACTCAATCATAATTACTACATATATCTAATCACGGAGTTATAATTTTGAATCCCCACTTTCATTGGTTGTGCTCAAATAAATAAAGTAATCTAATTTTTTTTTCATTTATCGATATATTTCATAACTATTTTTCTTTCCTACAATACTGCATGTATCTGACTTAAATTTATTGAATTGTATACTTCAAATTATAGTTTATGACTTAAAAATCTATAAATTATTGTTAAAATTTCATTTAAAAATTTCACATAATTTTTATTACTTTTTGTGATATCCATTACGTCTATGTAAATTTATCCCTTTGAAGAATTATAAACTAGCTTAATGACAAAGACATATAATTCCTCTCTTAAAGTCGAAGTTTCAAACTCTCACTTCCCACATTGGTTGGAGTAAAAAAAAAAAACATATATCATGTTTTAAAAAAAAAACATGTATCAATATTTTGATCCCTCCATCCTTTATTTCCCATTATAAAAGCATGATGCTCACAAAGAAACTAGCTATCAATAGCACTAAGCACAAACAAAACTGTCTTTCTCAACACTACACCTCAATTTATGTATCCCACACTAAACTCACCAACTGATCAAATGAGAAACACTCCAAACCAAATATAGAAAGAAGACACCCACTACTCTCGAGAGAGATTTCTGCAAATGCCATTATTATAATTATCTTTGGAGAACTTTCTTCTATCAATAAAAAAATAAATTAATTAAAAAAACTGATATTTAAATACTTGTCATCATCGTATGATTACTTTACAAATGGATAGGATAGAATTATTAAAACTCATGACCTTATGATCAGAAACGCGTGTCAATTATTGTCGAATTAAGTTCATGTTGACGGTAAATACTTATGTAAGTCTATTTTAGATATAAAACTATAAATCCTCCCACGAGAGAAAGAAGAAGAAAAAAAAATCTCTTCTGAACCCTTCTGCCATCACATGAACAGTTGGAAAAGTTTTGGTAATTGGGACATTTTAAATTGAGATAAACTCTCTACATTATTTCAACTTTAAGACTATCTTAGGAAGAATTCTTACTCAAAATAATGAAAACCGCTCTCTAAGATATGGATATAATATATATATATATGTATATATATATATCCTTAAAAAAATATAAATTAATCGATTTAAAAATAATAAGCATATCTGTAATATATGTATAATATATTTTGGTCTGAAGGTAGTTTTCTATTTAGTCTCTAAATTTTAAAAGATGACAGTTTAGTTTTAACTTTTAAAAAATAGTTCTAAAAGTTTCTGCTAGTTATATATTTATTATTTTTTGTATTATATGACTTTTTCTCATTTTTATCTTCTCTTTCTGTCTGTTACTGGTGCCACGTCAGCACACACTGACTCAAGTTTAACTCAAATATCTTTTATTTACTAAAAACCAACATCCATCACAAATATAGTAATTAATTGATTTAAAGGCAAACGTCATATTTCTTTCTTTCTTCTTTCCGTCTTTATCAGGTGCTTATTCATTTATCCAATATAGTGGAGAATGATTGTTTAACCATTATAATTTTAATAATAACCAGTATTTTAGCACGTGATTACATATAAATTTTTCAATCCAAACACAAACGTTACCCTTATGATATAAAAATAAAATTGTCAAAATATATATATATATATATATTTCACATCCGTACTTTCATATATATTATAGATATGGATGAAAAACAAAAGCAGAAAATAGTTGCCAAAACAGCAAACGATGCACTATTGTAACTTCTAAGAAAGCGTAAGTTAATAATAAGAACCGTCAAATTTTGAGTGATAGTCAATATGTACTGTTGTTCAACTAAAAATTTTTAGAGTGAGTATAACTCAGCGATAATTGATATATATCACCAACCAAGAGGCTGTGAGCTCGATCTCCCATCCCACATATTGTATTAAAAAAAAATTGACTTCACCATATATCTAAGGATTTAGAGAGATATGTAGCCACAATACGGCGGGTAGGATTGTGTATTAAAAATCCCAACAATTTTATCTATTCGGCTTCAATCTGGGGACACTGGGGACAAACTTTTAGAGTTTGGCCACCCACAATTGAGAGAAATTATTTAGTACCACCTCTGGCTCTAAGGTAAGCTACGCGATGAGTAGTTTTAAGAATTATTGATTGAACAACAATAATTTTTCCTTTTTTTTTTTTTAAGTACAGATTGAACAACAATAATTTGTTTAAACTTTGAGATGAGATGATTGGGCGCATTGCGGCAGAGCTACGGTTCATATGTTATCCTACTATGTTTCTTACCTCATATTTTATTCTAAAAACTATAAATAATAAAAAAAAAAGTTTAAGAATATTACACTGCAAATGCAACGAAGGCGGTAATATGAATGTTCGGAAATAGACAAATGTTGCATTTTTTAATTTTAGAGAAAAGTTTGAATTGAAATTGTCGATTTCTTTCTTTTAGAGAACAAGAGAACAAAAGAACAAAAAAAATTATTAATTTCATCAAATTTTTCCTTTTTTAGCAGAACAGCGAAGAAGAAATACAAAGCAGTGTTATCGAATATATTTTTATTTATCTCCTTTAAGAAAAAAACAAGAATAATACTAAATGGGCTTCATTAATGATTGTCATCTGATTAACATAGTTAGTGCCTGGTGGACTGACTAGTCATTGGCATATTACTGCATCTCTACTTTAATCATTCTTAATTACACTCAAACAATGAGTTTGGATGATTTTGAGAGTTATGTGAGAAGACTGTATGTTTGAATTTGAAATGGTTTTTGAAGAATGAAAGATGGAAGATGCAAGAATCACCATTATCATCTTACATTAATTAGTTGAAAGATTATTGTAACAATACAATACGTTACAAAATACACCAAACCAGACCCACAAAAACTAAACCAAACATACCACGTTTGTGTCAGACCAGTACAAGAATCATTTCCAGTTTTAGCTGCCCTTGAAAATGCTAAACCATTTCTAAATTCAACCATTCCCCATCCCAATCTCACTCTCTTCTTTCTAGTCTAGTCAATTTGGCCTGTTTCAGCCCAAACAAACCCACTTATGCTTTATATATCACAATATGGATCTTAAATTGTCACACAACTCTCTTTAGTTCTAACTCACATCCGATCCTAATTCCTACTAACTCTCTCTGCTTAGGGGTTAGCCAAACATGTAATTTTAGAGGGCATTAACAAATAAATCAATCACCTTAGCCACCTTCTTAGGTCACTGGTTGAAGATGGGGAAATCTCTCCGCCGAGACTGTCTGTGCAGCAGGATGAATAGTTGGATTGCTGCTCCACCCCCAAGTATGTCCCGCTCACGCTCTTGAAGCTTGGACTCCTCAAATTACGCTCGTAAGCTCCTCCATACCCAGTTGGGTCCGGAACTGGGAATGACAGCCGCTTCTTTGCTGACCCAACTGCCCTCTCCCTCTCCGGAGTCGACGGCCTCTGCCTCGGGGCGCTCTGCGACCGTACTCGGGCTTTTGCAGACTCCGTGGCGGCCATGTAATTGGGCAAACAATTGCCTTGATTATGACTGCTACTCCCTCCAATCTTACTCTGTTGAAGCAGATTGCCACTGTAGTAGTAGTTTGACCTTAAACTTGGTGTTTGCGATGTATTCTCGCTCTTGTCGTCTCTCACGAAACGTGGACTTGCAGAGCGGACTTGGAGAGGCCTGGTTTTGGACGGGGAGGGCGTGGCCGGGGAGGGGTGGAAACAGGGCATGCTCTGTTGCGTTCTGTGGAGTGGGGAGCTGCCGGAATGCGGATTTGATCTTTGTTGATTCTGAGTCGCCGTTCTCCGGAAGTTGATTGATGCGTGAGAGTAGGGCTGGAAAGTGTCAATTTCAACCGTTTTGATGGGATCTCTCTGATCCGTTGAAGCTCTTCCCCTGTTTTCCCATGGCTTCCTGGAATTCCATTGATCCAGCCACTTGGGTCTTTCTTCCAGCTCGTCTCCGCTGCCCATGGACGGACTTCGACCTCTACGCCATATCTGAGAAGAAAAAGAAAAATAAAATCTCAGTGGAAAATTAGAAAACAGCGTGAACAGAACAGAGAAGGATGAAGGGATGGACCTGTTGGGAGAAGGCGTGGGAGAGATTCCTATCACGCTTCATCGCAATCTCTTTTCTATGTTGGAGCATAGCTTTCACTTCTTCAATAGTGTGGGGACATTCATCCCAGTCGTCCGCAATGCTGCTACTTCCCTCCCTCGACTGAGACTGCAACACAGAACAGTTTCAAGTTTAATTCAAACGATCAGGGAAAAAGAAGAAGAAGAAGAAAATAGACTCACAGTAGATTTTCTGTCAGAGAAGTTATGAAGGTAGCGCGAACCAACTCCAATGACGGTATTGGTGTCGCTGAAGGCGAAGGTGGATTTTCTGCTGCCGTCGTGGGAGAGTCTCATCCGTTGATCAAGAACACGGGCTTGGACTCGAACCAGAGCCTGCATGCATCGGAGGGTCATCTTCGCCTGCTTTCTCACGTTGTGACCCCTCACCAGAGCCTGCAACTTCACCAGCCCCTTCAGCGCGCGCAGAGCCCTCCTTGCCTATTCGTACATACACCAACAAAATTGAAAATACCCACCTTTTTATTTAATTATAATTCCAGTTGGAAACCCAGATACAGATACTTGATGGTGCTTCTAAATTACACCCACATGCCATATAGATCAAGCCGACGAGATGTGGTTGCGGCTGGCCATACATACCAGGTATCCTCTAAACGCAGTCTGAATCACAATTGCAGCGTAGTGGTCTCCTCTGGCATGGTTGGAATTGGGCCTGGTGGTGAGGCGAGCGACCTCCACAGCCGCTTGCGCCGTGGCCATTGCAGCTTCTGCAGTTGCCACCGCAACAGCAAGCGCCGCCTCCGAATTAGATGCATGCTCCGTGCTCGCCTTCGACGCCGTCTCGGATCGCCTGAAAATCCATCTCCGCTTCTCTCTTTTCTGAGGGGGAAAAAAGGAAACAGAGACTTGAGAGACATAATGAAGAGAAGGTGAGAAAAAGAAGATGGAAAATGAAAAGGCAAGGGAACCTTCTCGTCGTCGTCTTTGGAAGGAGATCTAAAAGCCCTTTTGACGGCAGTCAACCAGGAGGTTCCTCCCTTCTTCCCCATGAAATGAAAACAGACGAAAAATAGAGAGACCCAGCAGCTGCATTTACATCTAGATCACAACACTAGTGCGCCTGGGGAAAGACTAAAAAAGAAAGATCATAGACAACCCAAATTGAAACAGCGACACAAGTGACGTTTGGTAGTGCCCACATCTTTAACAAAGCCACGGTCCACAAAAAGAGAGCGTTATGAATAAAATAATTTGGGGTGATACACAAGAAAAACAAAAGACCACTGACGCGAAGTATGCAATGCAGCTGTGATTCCATCCATCCAGCAAAAAAAAAAAAATAAAAAAAATCTAAAACTGAAGCTATGAATATTGAAGAAAAAGAATCTTTTTGAAAAGAAAAACTAAATGAAATGAATAATGGGAGTAGAGGAAGAGGGAGAGATTAGAGAGAGGAGGGGACAAAAACAGCAATAATGGTGAAATAGGGTTGTCAGTGAGAGTGAGTGGGATGAAGCAAAAGAAAGACCCGAGTCCCCAGTGGCAGTGGACATTAAATAAATAAATAAAATTCATTGAGTTGTGACTTGAGAAGGTCGAGGGGGGTTTTTTGGAATTGGAACTGAAAGCCACGAGATACTCGCACAGCGCAAGCCCAACGCTTGCTTTTTCCGCGGCCCCAAAAGCTGAAGCTTTTTCTTTTAAAGGTAAATTATTCAATTGTGTGGATTGGATAAAACTTAAAAGACCCATCTTTTCTTAATTGAAAGCAAAGCTCGCGTCGTGCTGTCACGTGCTGGTGGCAGATGGAGAGTGTTTGTTCAGGTGTGGTGTCGGACCACGCTGCTATTCTATTCTCAAATCTCAATCCTTCTTCCAAACCCACTTTACTGTTCGCTGCATCCAATCAACTACCTCCACTCCATTTTTTCCTTTTTTCTTACCATCAACATCAACTCTTTTCTTCTTTTGACAATCTCTCTTTGATCCTTATCATTCATTTTCCCTAATTTATATTTTCTTTCCACTCACTCCCTGCTATGTTAACATTTTTCAATTATACCTTCCATGTTACTGAATTTTTATCATATATGTGATACGACACTTACTCCATATAGATTTTAAAAAATAAATTAGCTCCTCTACTAATAACAACATGCATGGCTAAGTTTTTTTATTGTCAAGTCATCTGATTGTCCAGAAAAAAATTGTCAAATGCGAATAATTGATAATTAAAGAACGCAGTTAGATCTAAAATACTGTAATCTTCTTTTTGCCGTCAAAGTTGGTGTGCTATTAAAATCATCACCATCAATAAATTAAATTTCATAATTTTTCAAATTTTAAATAAAACAAAAATAGACACGTATTTCATTCCGAACGCTAAAATGACAAGGAAAAGTAAAAATAAAAGAAGAGATGGAGAAGGATTTGGATTTGGATGGTACTGGACGCTAGGCCCACCAATGGAAAACCCATTTGCCTCTGATTTAAGATGAGAAAAGCCTATTTGATAAGTTGGGCCGCAACAGGGCCCATTTCAAACTTCCATACCCCAGCCCAAGGAAGAAGCAGACTTTTGAACTCTAAGACGCTTTTTACTCCAAACGAATGAGACGTTCATGGGCGGGGACGGGGAGGAGACGCCCCCATTTAATTCTCGATCCTTACAAAATTTCGGAATCGGAGCGAGAAATTCACAGAGATAGGGTTTTCTGCAGGGATGTTTTCGCTTTGTTTTTTGTTTTTTTATAATATATAGAGGATGATTGATCAATAAAGTTTAGTTAACTAATTAATTCAAACAAAAATACTTTATTTACGTCATCTAATCAAGCGAAGCGAGGTGGGGGAACAGGGACAAGGAAAAAACTTTCTGCATCCTTATTCCATGTCAAATTTAAATGGRGATTCTCTTTAGACAGGTCCCTTGTGGAAAATGAACATCATTAGTGAGAATAAGATAATGAGAATCAAAATTGTCATTTTCTTCAATGGTATTTTTTGAATGGTATAAATTGAATGAAGTTGTATAATCAACCTCAAACTTTGTAATCACTATAGATAAAATTGTTAAATTCATCGATATCATTCGCATTCATATACTCCATCTTTATAACTATTACCTTACAACTTTTACCAATTTTCTCTCCTTTATTAATGAGACTTATTGCCTTTTACTTAATTTCTAAAAATTTTAATTTTAGTTGGTGTAATTTTATTTTTATTTATTATTCTTTGATATTAAATAAATTGTTATAATCCAAAATATTTATTATTGATAAAATAGTAATAAAATCAATTAAAATATTTTGTAGTAATTTACGTATATCTTCAACTAAGATGTTAGTTTCATATAACTTTAATAAACAACATTAAAGATTTATTATTCTATTCCATAAAATTTATAATAAACAACATCCCACAAATGAAAATTTTCATTTGGATCGATTTTATTCTAATTATTTTTCCTCTGGATTTTTGGTAAGCAAATGCAGACTAATATTATAGAGTGTGGATCAATTCTTGCTGTATCTACAGCATTTTAGAAACAATATAAAATTTGTGAAACTTAACTATCATGGATAACTATTTCGATATCATATTTTTACAGGTGTCTATTTTTATCAAGTATTTCACAAATCATCCTGAAATTRGCCCGTTTATAATGTGTTCATACAAATTACAAATATGCGTATATTCAGATAAATTATGTTTAAAACAAAAATTATCCCTTGTCTTTTATCCATCAATATTTCGTAAATGTCCATTATTATAATTATTCGTACTTTTAGATTTTTCAATTTTAAAGGAGGATTTTTCTGTTACCAAATTACCCCCATTGAATGTCCTCCTACTACATTTATTATTATTTTAAATTCATAATTTCTTAATGTACCTGTAAAATAGGAAAAGTGTATAAATGAATATTAGTTTATAAAAAAAATATACATTTAAAGTAACTTAACAAATGTATTAGGAGTACATTCAATCGGGGTAATTTAGTAACAAAAGAAATATCTTTTAAAATTAAAAACATAGAAGTGAAAAATAATCATAATAATAGGCATGTATGAAATATCGATTAGAAAAATAGCCTCAATAGAAATCCCAATAGATCTAAACAAATATCACAACTAAAAGTCTATGTCCTTACCTTGTCAAATTAAAAATATATAGTAATTCAAAAATATTATAATATTTTATTTCAGAATAAACCAGAATATACATGTAAGAATGTTATTTAAGAGGCAAAACGTACATTAATAAGCACTGTGTCCGTTATACATTTTTTTTTTCTGGAAACAAAAAACCCTTAATAACACAATGTATCGAAAGAGTAGAGAGGGAGGATTTTTTGGTATATTACCAAATATCTTTTGCATGATTTTAACATTTGCATGCGCCCACACGCATATATATTTTACCAAAAACATATGATTAAGTGGAAGGTTAAGTAATTTGCAAATAGATACAAATCCAGGAATATGTTCAGTTGGCAGTGGAAGCAAAAGATGGATCATAATTACGGTAGAAAAGAGATTTATTTAAGGGAAGGCGAAAAGTTATGAAACTTAAAATTAGTGGTCGCAGTCGCACAAGGAAAGCATTAATTATACGAGTGCAGAGGTCCGTAATGCGCCGAAAATCAAGCACATCAAAATCAATATTCTGTTTTCCCTGAAGATTTGCATTTGGGAAGAGGCGGAGGCGGAGGCGGAGGATTGTTCATATTCCATATTCCATCCCACGAAGACGAACACCAACGTTTTTGTTTCTTCCGTTCTCTGAAACATCGTCGATGGAGGAGGACACAGAAGCAATGGCAGAGGACTGGTGCTTCGTCTGCAAGGATGGTGGAGATTTGATTCTCTGCGGCAACCAGTCAGTCCCCTTTTTACTCCTCTCTCTTCTTTTTCTAATTCTAATCACCCACACCCCACAACCCACCCTTTTTTCTTCATATTTTCTGCATGATTCTTGTTTTAGTTACTACACACACATTCCAAAACCATATAAACAAACAATCTTCTTGTGCTTTGCTTTCCTCTGCTTTATTTAATCAAATGCTCAATGTTTTAGCGTCACTTTTCAACTGCCTCTCTTTACATTCTCCAGCTCCGTTCTTGCCGATGATTCCGGATCAATTTTTTTTATTCTTTCTTGGGGATTTGGTGAAGTTTTGAAACGACCCCTAAATTTGGGTTTCCTTCGATTTCCCCCAATCTTTTTTTTTTTTTTTTGGTTTGAATGATTTTTTTGCTAAATTTTCAGAAAGTGCTCCAAGGTCTACCATCTTGAATGCGTTGGGTTCGATGAAGAAAGTACCTCTGAAATAGAAGAAACTTGGACCTGTGGTAAAGTTGATTGTAAAGTTGAGCGGGAAAAGCAGATTTCCAAATTACTATTTGATGTGTGTTTTTTCAGATTGCCATTGTTGTTGTATCTGCAAGGAAGCCTCGGAGGTGCAGTGCTTCTGCTGTCCAACGTCCTTCTGCAGAAACTGCATCAAATTTGAGAAGTTTGCAGCATTGCGAGACAACAAGGGACTCTGCATCGAGTGCTGGACCCTCGCTCGCCTTGCGGAAAATCTTTCATCTTCCAAGGTATCTTATATTTCTATTTCTTGCTTGATTGGCCCTGAGTGGTTAATTTCTCTTCGTTCAAATTTGGCATCTCTTATTTATTTGGTATGAGTAGAAATATGTGGATTTTGAAGATAGAGATACACACGAGGGCCTATTCAAAGAGTACTGGGAAATTGTGAAAGAGCAAGAAGGGTTAACCATAGCCGATCTTGTGGCTGCGGAAGCCTTTTCAAACGCCAAAAGGCAAATGAAAGGCTCCACGCCTACGCGGGTCCAAAAGAAGAACGCGCAAGAGTTCTCCTCTTCAAAGGCACAGAAATTCTCTAAACCTCTAAATGACTTTCTGACTTCCATTGGGGTGGATACAACCAAACAGCTATCCCAACAAGACGTCAGTTCCATAATCTTAAACTACATTCAAGAGAAGGACCTGATTCATCCCATGAAGAAGAAGAAGGTCATCTGTGACAAAAACCTGCATCTCATTTTCAAGAAGAACACGGTACCCTTGAAGAACATTGACGTTCTTTTGGGGTCTCATTTTTCAATTACCAACAATGGCAACAAGAGATGCTTGGAATCAGATCAACATGAACATGAAAATCAACAAAATAAGCAGCAGAAGACATTGAGCTGCTCTGATGAGTGTGAGCAGAAAAAATCCCCACCCCCATCCCCAAAATCCCCAAAGGAGAAAGGGCATTTGGCATCAGTAGTTGCCCATAACATGAAACTCGTCTACTTGAGGAGGAGCTTGGTGGAGGATCTGCTGAAACACCCCGAAAGCTTTGAGGACAAGTTGGTGGGGAGTTTTGTTAAGGTGGTCATGAAGGCGGCGGATTCCTGTTGTAAAGGGAAGATTTCTCAACAGCTCCTGCAAGTTACAGGTTAATAAATACACGTTGGTAATAATGTAAGAGCAAAGTTGTTTCCTTTTGGTGATTTTTTATTAAGTAATTGTAATTGTGATTTGTTTGCTCAGCTGTAAAGAGAATGTCAAGCAGAGATGGGAGAGATAACGTCGTGCTGCATGTTTGGACGTTGAAGGATATTCAAATCTCCATGCTCTCTGATTCTGAGTTAACTGAGGTAACAAATGGCAAGGATTAATTACATCCTCACCCAACGGTACTGGCTCTTACTCTGACTTGTTTTTATTGAGATGATTTGTAGGAAGATTGCCAGGATCTGAGGGACAGCATGGGTAAGGGTCTGCTCCCCAGACCCACTGTTGTAAGTGTTCACATAACTGATTCATCCACCATTTCAAACTCAATATGAATAATAACTTCCACGTACCACAGGAAGAGATTGAAAACAAGGCTCGGACTCTTCATCAGGATATCAGCAAGCATGTGCGTATTTTCCAACTACCGTTTCTTCTCTCTAAAACGTATATATTTGCTTACCAAAATGCCTTTTTTTCCTGTAGTGGATGGAGAGAGAACTAGTAAACTTGCAAAACCGCATCGATCGCGCAAATGAAAAGGGACGGAGAGGCGAATATCCTTCTTTTTTGTGTGTGTGTGTGTGTTCTTTTTTCCTTCCTTTAAAATTATTACCACTCGTGTTCATTGGTTGGGCTTGGGTTTCCTTAACTTTTCATTTTTGGTGCTCAACGCTATACCAGCTTATAGAACAACGACAAACACTGAAGAAAGAAGCAGAGCAACAAGAACCGCTTCCCGCTGTCATCCCAGACTCTTCATTCATTCATTTTGTCCCAACACCAACAACGTGATTTAATCAAGCACTTTCAAGCTCAACTTCTTAATTTTGCCATATATATATATATATATATAAGCATGTAATTTTGTGGCATTATTAATTTACCGACCCTTTCTTTCTATAGCTATACTATTTACTAATACTGACGAACCTTCAATTCAAATCACTGATAAGATTGAATAACACGGAGGAGTAATTAAGATCATCTCACCAGGCACCAGCAAGCAAGCAACCAATTAATTTAGTTAATATGATACAGAGAAAGGAAGGGAAGGGAAAAAAGAAACATGTTTTTGTTTTTAAAATATTATTATTTGAATCCATAGTCGAATTCCACGGTGGATGCGGATACGGACCCCTTCCAACTGCTTGCGACACTGGAGTGGTCTGAGTTGGGCGCCGATCCGACGCCGTTTCCGCACTTGGCAACCGTTCTGACGTTTTCGATCAACTCCTCGGTGCGACTGTCATGCGACAAAATTTGAGAGAGCTGTTCGGGGCTTATCACCAGCTTCACTTTCCACACCCCGCTGCTACTGTACTTGGGAAATACCTCCGCCTCCGCCTCCGACCCGGCTCCCGCTCCCGCTCTCTTCGTCGACATCCGGTACGGCGTAGACAAAACGCTACCGGCGTCCGCGTTGGCGGCGGAGGGCTTGTAGGGGTTCAGGGGGAGTAGGTAGTACACTTCTCCGGCGTGAAGCTCCTCCTTGTGGAGCAGGGGTTCGGAGAAGATGCTTCGGCTCTTGAAAATGGCGTGTCCTGGATATTCGCCCGTTATGCACTCGGCGGTGACGGGCGCGAAGAGCTCCATGATTCCGCCATCGGCCGTCACCACTTTCACCACATCGTCTCTAATTTCTGGGTGCAGCCCTTTCAAGACGCAATTTCCCATGAGTGCTGCTTCCTCTGCAACTGCAACCTTAACCTTGAGCCCTAGAACGTGAACATGTGGGCAGCTGATGATGATGAGAAAAAGATGGGGGGATGCGGATGTTTCTTGAAGGTTTCAGTTATTCCATGGACGAATCCACACACAAGAATCCTTTCCTTTCCCTTTCCATTTCTTTGCTTTGCTTTCTAAATAAACAATTCCTCAATCCCGAATCCTCGAGCTGACGTTCATATCATATGGAGAGCCCTTTCATATCCCCCCGGCCCCACTACACGGCGATGATGCTCCATGGCCCCACGCCACAACAAAATTGTTCAGACTCGGATACCCTTGCTTTGTCCTTTTCTTCATCTCTATTCTCCATTGTTCTCGATATTCCACCCAATTTTGACCGCCATCTCTCTTTCTGACTAAAATCTCCTCTAATTTACTCCAACTCCAATATGGAATAACATAAATAACACAGAACAATTGTGCTTTGTGTTTTTGGTTAAGGCTAATATGTAACCTGAATAATCTACAGATTGAAAGTTTTATTGCTTAGGCTATACGTGATGGTGACGACTTTAATATTATTGCTTATTGCTGTTGCATACTCTGTGAATTATTTTGTTGATAACAAATGTAATAATGAAAGGAAGAGGAAGGATTGTATATGTGTTGACAAATTGGAGTAACAAAAAAATGATAATGATGGTCTTTGAGTGTGACTCACAATTCTCACTTGCCTTTTTCTTGACGGTATAGCCTTTTCACCTATGCTTTTAGCATAGGTTGGTGCCATCATCAGATACAAACAGTGTCTCTAAGTTAGGTTTTTTTTTTCTTTTTTTTGGTTTGGATGATTTATATTGTCAATTAGTGAATAAAGTATAATTATTTTTTCCAAGATTGAAGATTCAACCTCATGTCTAAGATTTTTGTAGGATTTATATCAAATACAATACGTGGGGTGGAGACTCACAATTTCATGGTCGGACATATATACCACGAAAAAAGAGTTGATTCAACATAGTATGGTATATTTTTTGGTTTGTGTGAAATACTTTTCCCCTGGTAAGTTTAGTTAGGCATATTTTTGAAGAGGTTGAAAAGTAAAAAGGTGGAAAAATATTAAAACTAGTGTTAGAAAGTAGAGCCAAAAACATGATTATGAGTAACCATGAGGTGGAAGGTGTGACTGTGAACTTGGACTTTTCCCCTCCCTTTAATTTGCCTCTGCCTCTGCCTCTGCGCTTCCCATCCACTTTCCCCTCAAACTAGTAATTATTCAAAGGCACCCCTTAGCTTTCAATATAATCTCATTTCTTTTGTCAATATGTTAAATTTAACTTTCATATATTAATTCTTTTCATTTCAATTTCCACCTAAAAATCTAAACACATTACAGCAAGAAGTTAGTTTGATTAATTTAATCGTTTAAAGTTGAATTTAGGCAAAAACGAACAAACAAAGAACTGTTATATTTCTGGAACATTAGACTCATTAATATTATTTATTATTGATTACTTGGAGCAAAAGATTTGAATTTTGAAATGCAATTATGATTATAATTATTGATTAGACAGTGGGTTTGGAATGATAGCATCTGGATATGGGGTGGAACAGAATCTGGCTGATTTGAAGATGCATTGAAGCAATTTTATCTCCACCATCAATAGCAGCCATTGAATATTTTCAACTCTTTTAAATTCATTCACCCCCATTAAACATATATATATATATATATATATATATGAGATTGGAGTTAGGGCCATTTTCAGTTTTCAGTTCGGTATCTATTTTGTTCAAGTTTGACTTTGACCACAGTTTTTGGTTCGCTCGTTCTTTATTTGACAATTTCAACACCACTGACTGTCCACTGCCATTCTACGGTAAACGACGTCGTCCTTTAATTTTGGGCCGTATGCTCACTGTGGGCCTGTCCAAGCAGGGCTCCACAAATAACGCAAGCCCATATCCGATGCTTCAATAAAAACGCAACCTCGACAACATCCCAAACCCTAGAACCGCTTCCGTGTTGCGCAGCGAAGAACAGACTGTCTACGGCCTCCGCCATCGCCCATTTCTTCTGGTAATTTCTCTCTCTCAATCTCCAAGTTTTATTCCATATTTTTGTTCACTTCAACTGTTGTTCCAAAAATTAGTTTGTTGTAATGCATATAATTCTTAACGTTTCGTGGTTTCGACTGTTTTTCTTTGTTTCTGCGTCTTCTTCCGTAATTTGGCTCTCCTTTGAATGTGCAGTGTAAGATGTCGACCGCAGAAATCGCTTGCTCCTACGCTGCTATGATCCTCTACGACGATGGCATCTCGATTACAGTATGATTCTCTTCAATTCTGGCATCGTCCTTCAGTATTTCATTCCTTTCTTAGTTATTACTTTCTGGATCTCGTTTACCAGTTTCAAAGTAATTAGCGGGGATGTTACCATGTATTATTCAAAGTGGTTGGTGTGGATGTCAGGAAAGGAGTATTAATTTTTGTGTGACTGCCATTCTAAATTGATAAAATAAGAAACATGGAGTATCCAACTATCGTTCTCTTTTTTGTTACAAGTCTTGTTTTCTAGATCTTGTTCTTCTGCCATGATTCCTTTTCTAGCCTGTTTATATCATTGGTTCATATTTGCGATCATGGTTTTATTCTTAATTTTCTTAATAGCGATTGTTATCATGCGGTCGTATCTGTCTAGTTCACATAAATTGTATGGAAATAAGATTTCAAAATGTGTGTTTTCATCAGGCAGAGAAGATTGCCGCCCTTGTAAAAGCAGCTAATGTGAGTGGTGTGGATTCGTACTGGTATAGCCTTTTCGCTAAGCTGGCTGAGAAGCGCAACATTGGGGATTTGATTATGAATGTTGGGGCTGGTGGAGGTGCGGCAGTCGCTGCTGCTGTCCCAGCCGGTGGGGCTGCTGGCGGTGCTGCTGCTGCAGCCGCTCCTCCACCCGAAGAGAAAAAGGTAAGCGGATACCCATTTGGTTTCCAAGAAGGAAATTGTTGCATATGTTATCATGGATAAAGCTTGGTTTTGTGGTGGTAGTACATCATTGTGACATGGGATTGTTTTGTTATTTGCAGGAAGAGCCAAAGGAAGAGAGTGACGATGACATGGGATTCAGTTTGTTTGACTAGGTCAATGTGGCTTTGCAATTTACATATTTTGATCTAGGTTAATTATCCTCTTAAATGCCGGAGGGCTCCTTTGTTATTTCACATATATGTAATTTTGGACAAATTTGTGACAAGTTTTGATTTGAATGTTATCTGAATGCATCTTTTCTTTTGAGATATATTTATGTTGCTTGCCCTCGCTAGGTGCAATACGTTTTAGAAGATTGTTGCTTTTCTTTATATGCCTTTTATCTATTATGCATCTTTTCAAAAGATTGTTGTCGAAGATCATTAAAGCTGTGCCTTAACGATGCGTCAGCTTCCTCTGAACCTTTCAGCTGCTAATACTCTATTTTACAACATAAAAAATTTGTGTTGTCTTGGAACTGAATTTGGTTTTTAATGCCAATGGCGAAATACGGGAAGGGAGATTGGAATAGGGAAGAGATGACAAAGCCATAGTAAATTTGTTAATCGGACGTTTTTTTGCAGGAAACTTGCGTTAATTCTTAATTCCCAATAATGATCCATCCATTCTATTAACAAACATTTTCCTCCTTTTTGTTTTTGTTTTTGTTCCTTTATGAGATGAGCTGTCTTAAGGTCAGGCTGCTACCCAGAGGTATAGCCCGTTTGAGTTACCATTGCCTCTTGAGACGACGATTGGGATCTCTAATGGTAGAGATTTTACAATAAGGAAAGACCGCACGTACTTCTATTGGACTCTCTTCGTTTGAAACATTCTAGTTCCTTATTATAAAATAATTTAATCAATGTTTTCGAACCAATTGAAAATGGGAAATATAAATAAACTTATTTTTGTTGTTTTTAAATTTTTTACAACTTTGAGAATATTTTAAAAAAAGGATAAACAAAGAACATAAATCTCAAATGCTTAGTTCTTAATAAAATGCGGCACTAAATATATATTAATTACATTTTACTTCTCTAATGCATGCTTTCTGGTTTCTGCTTGACTAATTTTACGGCCTCCATTATATTTTTGTGGGTCCACTGTCAGTTCAAACTGGTTCAGCGTCCTTGAGCACTTATAGACTTCATACAACCTTAGTCTAGAGACCCTCTTATTTCTTTAAAATAATATTATCTTCTGCACGAGAGAGAGTACCACAGACATTCGCCCTAAAGTTTGTTTAGCCAATTTCGTAATAGTTTCATATTTTTTTAAACTAAGTATTTTGGTTGCATAGTCAACAACTGGGTTTCGTACTTTCTGGAGAAAATCCTGTATTAGACTTTTGGCTGAATTCAATTGATAGCTCATACCATTTCCATTAACAAATAAGATGTGTTGCATATGAACTACCTTTCTATATGTATTTACAGATACAAAATTTTATTCTTCCCTTGAAAAGACTGAGAGGAAGATAGTTACAACTAACCAAAAGAACCTTTCTCGCACGGGTTTGAATAGTCACTCCATTCTCTGTCAAGATTTCGTAGTCCTCTCTTTTCCTACATGAATATATATATGTTTTTTTTGTTCATGTCAGAAATTGACAGCTGATAAAGGCAAAAACATGTTAGGAGAATCAGAAATAGAACTCACCAAATAAACTTGCTTTTAGAGGGAATCGAAGAGAGGACGGTCTCTTCACTTTTACTTCCCTGAGTTGCTTGCTCTTATTTTGTTTTTCTATTCCACTGCTACTTTCTCCTACTAAAAGATGATACCCTTTTGTGACCTTGTCATGGTAGACGGCTGGTGGTGCAAGCCTCAGCTGAGGCACATTTTCTATCTCTATTACTCTCTGGTTTTTCTGTAAGTTAGTCAGGATCTCAAACTGCAGCATACAAATTCAGGTTACATTAGTTCAGTTGCAACAGAACCTATTGGTCATTATATTAGTAAGACAAACAATACCCGTGGTATCTGCTGAAGAGTGTACGGGAGCTCCAATAAATCTGTTTCCTGTGGATATTGAACGGAAGCTCCTGACAATGATTGAGTTCCTGATGAAAATGTATTCACTAAACTGTACTCCGTGAGTGCTTTGCCTCTAGGCCGTTGAGATTGATTGCTATGGATACATACAGGGCATGAGAAGTCACCACCTGAAGCCTCATTATCAAGAACTTCGCATTGAAGATGAGTTGCATGACCACAGTTAAAAACTCGTACTCTGTAACTTGATGAACTTTTGATAAGAAGGCAATTACATATGCAACAGACAAGATTCCGGGGAGCGTATCCATGAGATGCCCCTTTCTTTAGTAAGCTCATGGTGTAGAACGTGTCATCCTCTATCAAAGCTTTGGCAGTATCCTAAACAAGTTTTAAAAAGTTAAAAAGTTTACACAAGGCAGAAGATACTTGAATAGCTGACATAGCAAATCAGTCAAAATCCCCATTTACTATTTAATTCAAGTGTAATTGCATATACAGCACTTCCCAGACCTTTCTTGAATTAAGCTCATCCCAAAGTTCAAAGACCTCTAAACCAGTATGATCAAGAGACCCTAAGTCCTTGCCAACGAAACTAACCGAAGCCTTCCTAGACATCTACAACTTCATATATATTTAGAACAGGTCTTTTATCAGAGAGATACATATACATACAGGAAGTTTTGAAGTCGGAGAATTCCATGAAAGAGGTCTAAATGAAGCATTAAAAGAAAACAATTTAGAGAAATTTGACCAAATTAATGGCTTTGGCTTTTCGAGACAAGATATGTGAGACTCCTTTAGGCCTTGCTGGCATCTAGCCATTCAAAATTCATCTCCCCTCCCACTCAAATAGGATACCAGTTGTCACTCTCTGAAGGGCTACGGTATGAAAACATAAATACAAACAAGCCAATTTTATTAATTACATAGATATTAAGTTTAACAATATCGAAACATGCTTTAATCTGTATAAAAACCATGCATGGAACATTCATCTAACATTAGCTCCTAAGCTAAGTGATAAGGAAGCGATCACATCTTCTTTCCTTTTTTAATTAACTTCCTGCAGTATGCTATCTATTAGAAAAAATCCATTCAATTTCTAAATAGGAAGGCTATTTCTATTTTTTCTTATATTCTTACACTAATGCTTCACCATGTTCACAAGATGTGAGAAGTCCATTTGGAGGTCTGTTTGAGGATGTCAATATTCCAGATGGTCAAACACTAAACCCAGGACGAATCAAAGAACTGTGCATGTCTCCTAGGCATTTACCTTGAATTAATCATGTACACTCTGTGCCACTAGATCCATACGTGAGTAGCCAAGCCTAATCTGAAGTCTACATTTACTAATTGTTTACAAAGAGTTTAAAGGGAGACATTTTCTTTTCGCATCAAGTTTTTTACAACATTACTATATAACATTTTCTGAATACAAACATAAAAACTTAAAAACTTAAAAACACGAGAAATCTTAATCATAAAATTTAATGATGATATTTATTTTTCGAAAAAGAATAAGCCAGATACCATGCATCCAGACATATCCTAGTAAGTACATGACTGTAGAATGAAGAAAACATACCAGAATTCTTCTTTCAAAGCCAAATGTCCCAAGCATCCCAAGTACAGTGAGTTTAAAATCACCAAATTCTTGACTACCGTTGTCAGAGAGGAGTCTGGACATGATAATTGGAAGATGAACATATCCTATCATCCCCTCAACTATCTCTTTGATAAAACGAGAGAACAGTCTCTTTAATATATGAGCAGCTTTATCGGACTTCAAGATTCTCCATGTAACTATGCGTGCCTCTTTATCCTTTTGCAAACCTGATGACTCGTTTAAGAATTGAACTTGATTTTCTCCAAAAGCAGGAGTTCTATAATTATATGAATCAATTAAAGGCTCACAAAACCTGCCAGTCCAAAATATTAAAACGTCTGTGTCAAACTGAGAACAGAATTGTGTGCACGGTACAATTATAATTTTCTCAAAAAAGCAGGAGCACGGTACAATTATAATTTTCTCAAAAGCAGGAGTTCTATAATTATATTGTGTTTCTTAAAAAAGAAACTGAGAACAGAATTTAAATTATGAATGCACGGTCTGTATATAGGAACTATAAATAACAGGATAATTTTATTGAAGACACTGTATCCTTAACACACATAGGATATATTTATAAATTAGAAAAATGAATGTACAAAGCATAGGATTCAAAATCCAAAAAATGGCAACAAAGCAAAAACAAAAGGGTCAAATTAACACAATCATGAAAAAGAAAATCTATGCACCTCCTCAGAACTTTTCCAACAACAGAATCTTTTACCCATTGCCTGAAGTATAAAATTAATAAAATAGTGAACATAATATTGCTCAAGTGCATACCTAGACGATATATAATTACTTTGAATTCTATCCTTCAACCCTTATATGAAGGATTATGACGTGCATTTCTACTGCCGTTAGCAATAATTACTATTTTAGGAGGTCCCCAGTCCAAAGGATTTTACAAGAAAACTTTTCCAGTCATAAATTGTTATTCATCAAAAACTGAAGATACATGTAAATGCAATTAAACTACATAAGAAGTTAAAAGGAAAAACAGGTGCCAAGCAATCTTTTTTTCCAGAGCTCATCTAACATACCACAAAAATAAACTAATTAATTCTTAATATTGTATCTGAATCCTGATTTGCAAAAATGAGAAATTCTTCGTTCTTGAATCTTCTCCCTTTCTTCTACAAGAAAATGCAACACCAGAAGGTTGTGGATATAAGAAATAAAATTGCCTCTCTGTAAGGTATTTTAACATGTACTCTATTCAAGTAACTCATTGTCACGCAGCAGTCATGTCAAATACTTTGAATGACAAACATGTCTAGAGGGGTGAAAAAGTTACAGTAACCATGGAACTGTAAGATGGAAAACCAAGGCAGAAGGTAAAGAACTCACGAGTCAAGTAATTTGAACCAAAGTGTCTCTGACTCCTCAGAGTTCAAACGAGGAGTATTTCGCTGGCACAGTCCAATACAGGCATGCAATAAAACATCTATATCATTCACCTGCGCAACAATGATTGAAGAAAACATGAGTTGCAAGCAGCAAAGCCTCTACATGCAAACACAAGATGGAAATTCATTTCCAGATATCTGAAGTCCAATATACAGACCTCTTGCAATTTTAAAACAGAGTTGAAATGTCGTGGATCATTAGAACCACTTGAAGCACCATTAGCAACTATGCTTTCCACAGCAGCCTCTAGGTCATTAAATTTTTTGTCAAGGCTAGACAGTGTTAAGAAAAGAGCACTACCAACATCACCAACCCTCTCCAATAAGAACGCTGCAGCATCAATAACCTCATATTGTTGGCAGAGACGTAAACAGTGCTCCACGCGGTAGCTATCAAAAGTCTCCAGAAACTTGAGAACCGATTCACGTTCATACTGACAAAGTAGCTATAAAATTGCAAACAATAATCAAATGTCAAGGTTTCTAAGTTCTTCAAGAAATTCATTATACGCAAAGAAAAAATAATATACTAACCAGTAGTCACCCAAGCTTTACGGTGTTGAAGCCTAGAAAAACAAAAAAACTAGTATGGTAAAAGCCTAGGTAGGTTTGTGCCGAATGCAACTTAATCAAGGAGGCTCTTTAAGTTAAAAGTGGGTTAAGGTAACATGATTCATTTAGCAAGGGAATTTGATAGGACAAGAAGCCAGAAACTTTTAGAGGACTTGATCTTTAGACCTTTTGGAGGGATGGCTAAGTTTATCTCTTCCTCGATCAAAGATTGTAGGAATTAACAGGAGATGGGGTGAAATCTAAGATTTATACAGCCTTAAGGAAAACTCAAGGATGAATTAATCTCTTGGTGATTTGGAGAATTTCCACCCACCGAGCAAGAGGACTTGCTTTGGTAAAATATTTGGTTTACAAAAAACCTTCTTATGAGTCGAAGCCCACCAAGAAGCTATATGCTTAATATTCACACTAAAAGAGTCAAAAGAGGCCTCTTTCTCTTCAAANGAAGCCCACCAAGAAGCTATATGCTTAATATTCACACTAAAAGAGTCAAAAGAGGCCTCTTTCTCTTCAAAAAGTCTATGGTTTCGTTCCTTCCATAGCAACCACAGAAGAGCTCTAGCTGCAGAATTCCAAAGAACGTACGCTTTTCCTTTGAGTCTGAAGCCACCAAAACCTTCCGCTACAAAATCGTCAATCCTCCTAGGAACACTGATTGCAAGATCAAAGAGAGAAGCTAAGTAGTTCCAAGCCTTAGTAGCGAACGCACAATGAAGGAAGAGATGATCTGCTTTGGTAAAATCCCGATCCAGCAAGGGATTTTTTATTGAAGTTGTCTCTCTTGTCAAAGTTCCATTTAAATTCACTTGGAAGGATAAAATCTATAAGGAAAAGACAAGAAAAGAAGAAAGCCAAGGTTGGCATGTGGGCTTTAGAGAGGGAGGATTAAAAACATAGCAGACCGCATCTAAACTAGGCATCCACATTTAATAGGGAAGCTGAAGATATTACTCATTTATTTTTCTTTTATCAATATAGGCTACAGTCAAAATGTACAATTTAAGTTCCTCAGAAAAATTGATATGGTAAGGTCTTCCATTGTAAAACATCTTTTTGTGTGGACAAACTACTATGTGGTACTTATCTCAACTCCAAAACAGCAACTTTGTGGGCCATAGTTTCTGAAGTGAATTCAGCTGGCCATCCCCCTTCCTACAGGTTCCCCACTGACCCAATGAGACACCGGCCATGCCGCTTCCTTATCTTTGATCATGCCGCTTCCTTATCTCTGATCATAAACATCCTTTTCTCTATCTTCCATTCTCACGATTGTTCATCCTCTACAAATAGTGAAATGAGGTCCCCTGTCCCCCCTCCAAATGAAGACACTCTGGTTCGAAATGGGTTATGATCCAATTTTTTAAGTCCACATTCCACCGGTAGAGACCTTTCGCTTATCTCACTCATTTTTTTTATCTAGTTACAATCGACTTTCACAGGGAAAACTGATGTGCTTGCAACTCTTTGAGAAATTTTGAGGGAGAGAAACACTAGAATTAGTTGTAAGACTAATTCATTGTTTGATTTCCCGTTGGTGTATTCTCTCTACTTCCTTTTGTAATTATAGCTTCTTTTGGATAATACCAGTTTCATTGGTTTTTTCTCCTTATAAATTGTTGTAGTTTTCAGCTCTTCAATGAACAACATTGTTTCTTATGAAAAGAAATTACAATAGATAATACCTAATATATCACATAAGACAGCATCCCTTAACAACCATACCAATAGGATAGAAGGAACAAGGTAAAATACGAAACTATCTATTTTAAATTTTTACGCTTGAACTGAGTAAATGCTTACCTCCACATAAAGCTCAATTATATCGTCAGTCACATCAACAGGATTGTTAGACAAATATTTAGGGAAATCAGAGAGCTTTCGCAAGTAATCATCCAGTCCTTTAGTTGAATAGTTGAGCCCAAAAATATCATCTTTCCTTAAGCAAGAGAAGTTCAGGCTTCCAGATAGGTGAACCTCAATGAGAGTTTTCAAGTACAGAAATAGGCTTCTTGGATGAGTGCGGAGCTGCGAAAGAATGTCTGAAGCATCATTGTTGAAATGGTCAATGACCAAGAAGAACGTTCCCTCTCTGCAAAGAATCAGATATTTTTCAGAAGGAAAATTAAAAGATACAAGACCGACTGAAGTAGTACACTTCTGGAAACGAAAAAACTAAGTTACTTTTCATATCAACGCATCCCAATCAGAACCTGATAAGTAAGATGAGGACACAAGGTAACTTCTCATAAAATAACTGGGTAACCTGTTCAAGTTAAAAAGCTCTGGAATTCGAGAAATGACCACGGCCTGAAATTCAGTCCGTTCATAATTGTTCAGCTCCAGTAATGTTCTATTGATAAAGGCAAAGCCATGAATGGGTTCATCTATATCTTTCATGTAGCTATCCAGAGCGGATGCATACTGGTGTCTGATGCTGTGAATTAGACCACAAACCTATAAGAAGATGAAAAAGACATCAGACCATGAGCAAACCCAATAGGAAAATATTACATACTGAAAAAGCATCAAGAAAACAAGACATACAAGAAAAGCGAAACCATAACAATAGAAGCCTAAATCAGCTTTGGCTTGCTATTTCATTTCATGCTTCTTCATGTTGTCTCAAATCTAAATCTTTTTATACTATCAATGGCCCTGACAGTAGAGTTTGGTCTTTAGAGCCTTCAGGCTGTTTTCCCGTGGCTTCCATTCGTAAGTCTCCTTAAGACGAAGCTATGCCACCAGATTTATTTCAAGCCATTTGGAAGGCCAAGTGTCCTAAAAAGGTTTGTTTTTTCACCTAGATTCTTCTTTACGGAAAGGTAAATACAGCTGAAGTTCTTCAAAGGAAGATGCCTAGTTCTAATCTTATGCCATCCTTCTGCCCTCTATGTCATTCTAGTGGAGAAAATATGATCCACATCTTTTTCCAATGTCCCTTTGCATTGCGCTGTTGTGAATTACTTTTTGAGGAATTCAATTTGTCTTGGGCATTTGACAACATAACAGCAAGGAATCTCCTTCAGCTTTTACAGGGGCCCCCTTTGAATTCTAAAGCCAACCTTCTTTGGCTTAATGCCATTAAGGCCGTGCTTGATGAGATATGGTTTGAAAGGAACTCTAGAGTCTTCGAAGAAAAGAGTCGATCATCAACAATGCGCTTCAATATAGCTAAGTTCAAGGCTTCCCAATGGTGTTCTTTATCGAAATTATTTAGTACCTATTCCCTGGCATGATTTGCTATAATTGGAATGCTTTTATTGTAAATTGTTAAGTTTTATTATTTTGTCCTTTTTCTTTTTCACTCTCTCGAGAGTTTGTATCCTTGAACATTATTGTTCCTTTTCATTATTTCAATGAGAAATTCGTATCTTGTTCAAAAAATCTTCTTCATATGCAAAAACAACATGAGATCTTTCGTAACTCCTCAGACCTTTTGTTTTAGGAAAGATATGAACTTCATTAAACAAACGACCTAAAGATGCCCTTTATGCTCTAGCAGGGGGATTAAACAAAAGGTCTCCAATCTAGGTAGATTGATAGTAAAATCCCCTCTCTCCCAGGTAGATTGATAGTAAAATCCCCTCTCTCCCTTCTTTGCATATTTCACTACTTTAATGGAACCTGTTTCCTATGACCCAAAAAGAAAAGAAAAGGAAAAAAAAAAGACATAAATACCTGGAAAAATTGTGCTTCCTCACACATGCTTAACACAGAAGACGCATTCCAGTGGGTCTCAGGTACCACCTCCAAGAGGGAAAGCACTTGCTTTTCTCTTTTTCTAGAATGTACACTATTTGCAGTAACCTTAGGTAGAAAATCATTCTCTGTTTCTGGAATATCACTATTGGATATCAAGTGTTCCAAAATCTGACCAACTATGACTTTAGAGGCAGTAGCCCCTCCACATGCAACATAATTTGCAACAAAGTCAAACAAATGAACTAAGTCCTTCTTCGATGGCCAGTCTCCAACCAGTGCAATGTCTTCGCCACCTGCAGACCTATCTGTTTGACAGATAGCTTGATCGAGAACATGAACAAGAGCATCTACTATACTTTGAATTAGAACGTTCTTTCTTCCAGAAGTTGAGTTCTTTTCTTCTTGCACCTGCATACTTACATCATCTAAACCATTCGGAGAAGAATTGGTTTTGGGAATTTCACCTTCAACAAAAGCACATCTCAAAACATCTAAAGTAGCTCCAGTGTCTAACTCTAAGAGATGGTATAGCTTTAGATATCCAATTTCAGATGATTTATTTGAAATTGATCTTGTATCCACTGAATCAGAATTCTCCAACAAAAATTGTAGCAGTTCATCTCTAAGAGATTGCACGCGCGAATGAGCAAGAGTTCCTTGGCCTGTAAACGGAGAGAGCTTAATGCTTTTCACCAGTTCAAGGATACCCGTGCAGGTCAAATGTAAAAAAGGATATAGAAAAAAACAGACTTTGTTCAAATCAAAATTATCCATGGATTGGATTGCGGTATTGATGTAGTTAGAAAGCTGTTATTTTAAAACCTTGCTGTTTGGTTGTTAGAGTTAAATATTTTGTTTAGTTAAGCAGTTACTATACAGTAACTTTCTTTAAATTTGAGAGAATAAAAATATTTTACTATATTCAAACATGTAACTTAGGTCTTCTTATATAGGAGAATGACCTACTACAAACAGAGAAAGCAATAAATACCATAAAGACTAAATATCAACAATAAAGACTAAATATTGACAACTAATATTTACACAAATATTGATAATTCCAACAATTCCATTTACCGTGTAAGCAGCCTCTATATATAGGCTCCTTCTTCATTAATAAAGGATAGATTCATTATTCCTCAAGAAACTCTAGTAAAGGTTACATTAATTGGTATCAGAGCATCAAGATTCTTGGGCAAATTTTTGTCATGGCAAGCAAGAAATCTCCCACCAATGCCGTAGGAGATACTTATTTTGCCGGGAAAGAGGTGGATCAAACCACCGCCATCTCACCACGAGTCACAACCAAACGCTTGCTGTCGGTTGAAAGAGCTATAGAAGATATCCAAAGGAATGTAGTTGAGATACAACAACTTTTAAGTAAAATATCTTGGCAACTCGAAGATTTCAACTTGCAACAAAATCAATCAAGATTTGGCCGAGAAGAACAACGAAGAGGACAGCGCAATAAAATTCTTCAACACCAACCAAGAATATTTCAAGAACCTGTTTTTGAACCAAGAATTCTGCAAGAACGGCGAGCTAATCGGCAAGAATTCAATCGAAATCTTGTGTCAAAGGAGAGATGAAATACATCTAGATTCTTCGAGTGAGGAAGATGAGATCCTTGATTTGGTGGAAAATAGACGATTGATTAGACCCAACCAGCCGCAATTTTATGATACAAAAGACAATAATCTTCATCAAAAACGACAAGAGCGACCTATATTACAACAAGACAACACCAAGAACAGAGAAACCGGTCCACAGAAAAATACTATGAATTTTCTCCACCACGATAGATCTCAAGAATGCAAAAGTGAAGGGTTATTGCTTCAAGAATCCAACTTTTTCAGCAAAGAAGAAGAGTTTTCTTTTATGGGTTTGTAGATTATTTCGATGATGTTGAAGAAGACTCCTATAGGAGTGTAAAGACTGGAGGTGATGAAGGTTTCTTCCACATCAATAAACTTGTTATAAATGGTGAGGCATTAGTTAAACCAAACATTTTGTTGAGCCAAGAAGTACTACAAACAAGTTTGAACATAATGGAGGGAGATTTTGTTTTTAGAGAAAGTCCAGTATTAGGACTAAACCAACCCCTTGTACACTATGAAGAAGAAACAATGGAGGGTAATGACAACGATAGTCTTGAAAGACGACAACTAGGACCTGAACTATCTAATCCACAAGCATGGAGAACAACARAGTGCTTATTCTCTAGTTGGACTTCAAGAACGTTGGCTACAAGAAAATACCACAAAGTCTTTCCTTCATAGAAGACTTCAAGAATGTAGATATGAGGAGTATTTTTGTTTTGAGGAGCTCAAAAGGGCATTTTCAGTTGGAACATTTTTGAACCACAAGAAAAAGTAAATTTCCATTTTAAGATTGTTCATGGCCTTCTAACTCCACTGCTTTTAAACTCGAGGACGAGCTTTGTTTTGAAAGGGAAGCAAACTGATGAAAGGTTACATTAGGCATTCAAAATTCAAATAGGGGGAAATCTTGGTTTCGGATAAAGGGGTTAATGAAGAGAGAGATTCGGTTTCCAAGGATCCGAGTATGCAAAAAAATTTATTGGGTTCTTTTAATGACAGTAAACATACTGTGGAGAAAAATAGAATGAGAGTTAAAGAAATTTCAACCCTTAGCCTCGGTATCATTAACTCAACAAATGAGAAATTGATTAAGAATACGTATGTTTGTGAATTGTGATTCATCTGATGATGAGGAAGGATGTAACATTAGTATAAGTAGTCAAGATTCTACCAGATTTCCAGAAGATCAAGATATTAATCATGAAGATTTCTCCGAGCATTCTTTTACAGAAGATTTTAGTAAACTTTTTGGGGAAGATCAAGACTCTTTACACCCTCATGGGAGAGCGGCTCCATTGCTTTCCTCATCCAACAATTCTTATTTTGATAATCAAAGCTTTTTTCAATTTTTTGAAGAAGTGGGCATAACCCTAGTTCCAATCATTGATGAGGGTGTAAAAGTTGCTTCGAAGTTCTAATCTTGTTCAAAGCTCGGTTTTTTGGAATCCGAAGGGTCATTTTGAAGTTCTGTTCTTCCTCTCTTATTTGGCAATATTTCTGGTTTTGGTTCTCATGGCGGGTCAAGGATGCTTCCAGGAGTTGTTTTTATGTTGGCTTTGCAGATCAAAGTAGTTTTGTTGAGCTTTCCATCTTTGCTGGGTTGGATGAAAGTTTTGAGAATTTGATTGTTCTTGTTTCAGTCTCTGAGGAGTTGTTTTGGGCTTCTAATTGCCCTTAAGTCGTATTTTAAAGGCCTATGCTCTTTCTAAGTCTTCATTTATCGGTCTTTCGGATCTCTTAATTAGTCAGTTGATGTGATTAAGTCTTTTCAATGTAATTTGCAGATTTTGTCAAAAAGCCACATCCTCTTTTTTCCTGGTCGGTTGTCAAGATGTTCTTCTGAGAATGAGCCTCATAATTCAAGCTTATAAGGAGTGTTTATAATTCTTTTGGCGCATGTTTTCGTTGAGCTTATAGTTGCTTGTTCATCATTGTTTTATTCTATTGTATCTTTTGGATTTTTGTTCTTTATTTGACTCTTTTTTCCATTCTTTCTATGCTCCTTTGGCAGTTTGTATTCTGGAACATTTTCTTCCCTTTCATATATCAATAAAAAGTTTGTTTCTTGTAAAAAAAAATAAATAAAGAAAGAAAAAAAGGATTTTGAAATCATTAATTATATGGAAACGAACTGCGTAAAATATTGGTAATTTTGGGATACATTGGTGTACATGAAATACTTAAACAACAACTTTTTTTCTTAATAATTGGGAATCGGAGCTTTGCTCCCCTTTACCAAGGGGCACCCCGCCCGCCCAAACCCAACTTAAGCAATACCTGGTGGAAAAGCAAGTCCTGAAAAGCAATATTTCAGATAAACAAGTGTCTTATACCTGTAAAAGGAAAAAAAATTGTACTTCAATCAATATTCATAAATTAGTTTCTAGAAGGAAGAACGCAAAAATATTTGAACAATATCCTCACTGAGTAAAGGTACACCAAGTATAACACCCCAAGCTTTTTCATAAATCAAAAATTACAATGTACAAATGATGGTTCTAATTGAAAGAAGGGAACAAATTTCAGTTCCTAATGACCATTAACCAGGTCTTAGAAAGCTGTCCGAAACTTGGGTGACAAAAGACTTCATAGCAGAATATCCATACAATCATGTTCTACTTTTCTACTCAAACTCAACAATACTGCATAAAAATATTCTAGGAAAAAAGGTGAAAAAAAATAAAGAGAGAACTAAATGGTCATACCTAATCCAAGTGGCTAAGTAGATAAGAAAAACTCTCTAATGAGCCAAAATTCAGGGGTAAATTAAAGAGCTCCTTGGTTATCAAATGAGACACTGCATATTTCACTCAATACCAAATCATTATTTTTCTAATTTTCTCTTATATTTGTGAGTATCCGGGCCAGCTTGTGCACATCTCGACTAATCTCACAAGAAAACCGCCTAAAGCTACTATATTTGGTTGCCAAGATAACTCATAGGATATTAAATCCTAGGTAGGTGACCATCATGGTTTGTACCCATTCCTTATAAGCCCTTTACTATTTACATTGGTCATTGACCACTAGGTCAAACCATGATGGTTTCCTGTTTTTATCTTTAAAACTCCTCATTCTTCACTCTCAAAATATTAGACTAGACCACCAGGATCACCAAGAGCAAATAATCCATGATCTTTTCTTTAAAATGAAGGCACACACCATTTTGAAGGAGTAGCAAAGCAACAAAAGTAGGAGTTTTCATTACTTTTCCTCTAATTAGTTTATTTAATGAGCAGTGAATGAAAAAAGTGGTACAAGGCGTCAATAACATAATCATAATTCATGAAGCTCTAAAGGTTGTCCCCTGATGCTATCAGGCTCTATTAAGGCATAATTTTAACAGGTATTTTATGATAAAGAGACTAGTGAGTGGTAGCCTTCTTCATAAGTTAGAAGGTGTATTCACCAAATATATCTCCTTAGCCTTCAAATGTTATCCTTCAAAGAAAGCATCACTTTTGACTCTTCTTTGGCAGTAAGAAGTGATGTTTTAGACTCGAAGTTCGATTGAGTAGAAGTGATGTTTTAGACTCAAAGTTCGATTCTTCAGGGAGCTTCACTAGTAAGACATTGTTCTTTAAAGCCACAATTGATGACCCAGCAGTTCTTAACCTCTCAAGTGCTTCGTGAACAGGCAGATATCCATCCAAGAAACGATCAATTTTATCTCTGGACCTTTGTTCCAAGGGGGGGATACATGTGGCAGAATTCAGAAAAACTTCTTAACGTTTGCTTTTCAGAAGTTTGGTCTTCAATAGTGTAATTCCTGGAATATCATAGTTTCTATATTATTTTTTTTTTCTTTTGATATCCGTGAATGTCTTGGCTAGTTTACGAGCACCTCGACTAATCTCACAAGACAACCGCTTGACCCTACAACATTTGGTGCCGGGAAACACAAAGGAATTACTAATTTCTAAGGCAGGTAGCCATCATGGGATTTGAACTCATTCCCTCTTAATTAACCAAGCCACTCCTAGAAATTTTATGGCTAGAGAGAAATAGAAAAGGTTTCAGAAATATTAAGGGATAGATTTGAATTGTTAGATTTAGCGTGCTCACTGGCCTCTTCTTGGAGTTGTTAGTCTTGAGTTTCTTGTTTTTCTTATTAAAAAAAATCATTCCCTCTCTTTGACTATTGCCAACTGGAGAAAACTGCTATAAACACCTTGGCCTTCTATGCAAGAAGAGGTCTTAATTTCCCCATTTTTTATGTAATTTTGTTTCCATTAGGAAAAATATCTTTCCTGTCAAAAGGACTTCTACAAAAGGATATAGGTTGTATAAAATTAAACTAGTCGACAACATAATGACACTTATAAAAGGAAGTTAGGATGAGAAAAAAGAAGTTTTAAACACATACAGTATAATAATTAAATAAAAAAGATTTAATTGATTATCATACCCTATGGCAGAAGCACGTTCACTTTTACTGGTCTGTAACACTGCCAACAGCTCCTCTAATGGTGTCCTGAAATCATCCAATCCCTTGTTGAAAAGGTACACCAGTGCACTATACAATCCATGATCCCGGCATAACCTAACAACCTACAGAAGAAAAGAGGCAAAGGTATAGATATAGTTTTGAAAGATTAATTTCAAAGAACTAATGGATTTTAGTAAAGGAGATCCCATAGTTCTTGTTACTCTTTGACTTTTCCACCTTTTCAATCTTAATGAATGTCCAGCCAAGAGGTGAGTTCAAATTTTTCGGCATAGTTAAACAGAGAGATCATTTCTCTTAACCGATTTTCTTTTAGTAACCCTGAAAACGTATTAAGTACGATGATCTAGGAAGAAAAACTATAAAAACCTTGTTCTGCGTTCATGATAAAGACATGGAGAGGAATCAATTCAATCTTTCCTATTTACAATTTGCAAATGGTACCATCTGCATTAGCGACTGGAACATGATCTCTTCAAGTCTACCTTTAGATGGTACCCTAGACTTCTGTTGTTGCACGCATTAGCGACTGGCTTTTGTGCATGTGTGTTTTTTTCTGCCTCTTAAATCGAAGTATGTTCTTTTTAATGAAAAGAAAAACTTTTATTGAGAACAAAAGAAATAATACAAGAGGGCAATACAAAAAAGGAAAGCCCAAGCAAGAGGGAGCCACAGGCCCCCCAAAAAAGAGAGTAAAATAAAATAACAAAGAGGGGTTCCAATTCAACAAAATGAGAGATAAAGGGTAAGCACTAAATTCCTTAGTGACGCCCAAAGGGAGGCATTAAACTTGACCAAACCTCAAACCTCCTCCCAAGAGCTTTCCTTATCACTAAAAATTCTCCTATTTCTCTCTAGCCAAATGTTTCATAAAATCACAAAGAAAGATGTTTCCCACATAAACACCCCTTTACCACAAAAAGGTGGGTGAAACAACACCTCCTCCATCATACCCTTGTTCCCATTTGGCCTTTTGTTCTCCCTTCTTTGAACAATTTTGTTCCTTTTCATTTATCATTGAAGAGTTTGTTTCTGGTTAAAAAAATAAAAGAAAAAAAAAATAGAAGTATGGTTTCTTACTCAAAGAAAGGTTGACAGAGGGAAGGCTTTTTCAATAAGTTAAATGAAGATAATCTGACAAGTAATACACTTCTTAGACAAGTGCTTTTTCTTTTTATTTTGGGAAGGGGAAATTTTTGGCATTTGGTTATCATGGGTATGATCATTCACTCTCATGGTAGTATGGTACCATTTCCTATCCATTCACTCTCATAATGTTTCCCTTCTATAATTTACCTTTTTGTAGAAGAGTACCAAAAATTAGATTAAAGATGTAAAAAAGTTAGCTTGACAAAATTACATTTGGAAAGATCAGGTGGTAAGAACCTGATTAAAATCTAAGGAAGAAATATCCATGTGAAGAACGCATTGTTCTACACGCTGCAACCATCCTTTGTGGCTATAATGTTCTACCAAAGCTTGCATAATCTGAAAGAACCAAAAAATGCTATAATGTAAGTCTTATTCTCTTAATAGGAAAATACCAGTTCATAATTAATCTATACCTCCGGGGGCAGCGATCCAAGCATGTCCTTTAATATATATGGTTCCAGAAGCTCCAAAAATGTATCTATAACAATAAAGGACGTGATTTCAGTCATTTAAGACCATTTTTTGCTTTAAAGAATATATAACCACAGTTGAGAAGAAAATTTAACTGAAAAAAAAAAAAGGAAACTTCAAAAAGCAACTAGATAATGACCCACAAATTATGGGACAGTATGAACCGCATGCAATTAAAGAAATTCACGTATCTGTCAAAAATTCTTAACCAAGATCTTTATTTTCTGAAGAAAAAAAAAATCATAAAAAATTGTGAAAAGTTACAAAGTATGATACTCCGAGTATATATCCTCTATTGTCATAAATTCTGGAAAAAGATACCTTCAAGTCATTGCTTTGCCAAAATCGATAATCCTCCATCCTTGAACTTAAATTTAATTATGAAAGAAAACAATTATAATACATTGGTCTCTAATAATTGTCCATGGAATTCTCCTACGTCCTGCCTTCATGTGTTTGGCACTCCAACAAAACATCCACACTATATTTACTTTTTGTGACCATATGCAGCTCCTTCAGTAATCTCCACAGGCACCTTGTTAGAAGTTTGCCTTCCTCTTTCTCCGGTTCCCAAACCCATCAACCTTTTTCTAACAGGGTGGAAAATCCCATTTCAAGTGTGGTGGAACATCGACGAAGATTTAGTTTTCCGTATTAATTTTAAGGACGTGAACGAGGAATGTGTAATGAAACCCCTTACAGGCTTACAATATATTGATATTCAGAGAAGAAAGGATCCTAGGACTACAAAAGTCTCCTCCACCCAGTTAGAGAGGGTTGGTTCTCTCCCCACCCAAGACTTCCCAAAACAAAACATTCATAACCTTACCAAACAAAACCTCCAAAGTATACAAGGACCAACTTACCCAACAAAATCCCAAAGCATATAAGGACCAACTAACTTGAAGGGGGTGAATTCCTTCTTTTATCATTCCTAACATAAGTATTAACTACTGGCGGTCTCACAGAACGGTCTCCTAGTCTCAATTCTACCACTGCCTCCAATCCTTGAAATTATATGATAAATATAAAGATCTTATTAATACTATACGGTTTGAAAAAAAAAATCATATGATTATATGAAAATTATAAAATTATATATTCTTCATATTTTAAAAAGAACCACAAAACTATATCGTGCAAGATTAAATTATAATTTAATTTAAAAAGATTATCACCTTCAATTAAAATTTTGATTCTAAGAAATTTTATATACAGATGAGAAAATATAGCCGTGGAAAATCTTGTTCCCTATCAATTTCCTACCAGAAATCTCTAACCTAGCCCTTATTTATTCAATATGAGTATAGGCTATATCAAGGACATTTAGGAAGCTGGGACGAGGATAGGGAAGTCATCCCCCAGCATCACATCATCAAAGAGCGCAAAAAAAAGGTTGTCTTTTGTTGCTACTTGCTAGGGGCATAGGCCAATTACAGACAACGTTCTGCCATAGCTGGGTAGGAGGTAAAGATGATTAGTTGTCTCATTCTGCTCTCTAGAACCTTGTGAGACAATTGTTCAACAATCTCATAGCTGAGCAAGGCTGTTGAAAGCTTAAATATTGCAGAATGTTATATTCTACACAAGGAAAGAATGTATACAAAACTCAAAAATCCACCTTCCAAATTTAAACTCGCAACAAATTTCAAGCAAGCAATTAATACAAAGGCAAAGTGTGGCGTTCAATACCTCTCTGTTGAACGGCCACAAATTTGGAGAAAATTTCATCAAAGAGAATATCTGTCCTCCTGATATGGACACAAAACTCAACTGCAACTCCACCAACACGATTATATTGCTCTTTTATTTCAGAATGTGCAGAATGGCCTCCACTAGTTACATCAACCGATTTTTCATTCTTTTCAATTTGGTTACAAAATGCCACTGATATATATGAAAACACTTCATCCACGTACGATAACAGCAACTCAATCAGAAAGGGCACTACCAACTCCTGCAAAGACTCCAACGATCTAGGGAGATCAATAACACCATGAGCTTGGCCATCATAAATGGTTATTGCCATGCTAAGGGCACCCATCCAGTCTCCTGCTTTCCTTAGAACCTGAACCCGCTCCTTCCATGGAAGGAGACGGGAAATAATAAGATGCATAGGTCCCAATACATATACAGAAGCTCCTCTAACAGCAACACAATTGTGATATGCCTTCTCAGGATTGCCCAAAACATTCACAAAGTGGGTGTGATATGCAATGAAATCTTCCTTATCAAACCCATCTACAAAAACACTTGTCTGGTGAATCATAGTTCCATCCTTCTCAAACAAAAAGAGTTGTCCTGTTATTGTGAGAACGACAAGAACCTGTAGAGTGTATAAAACCTTTGATCAAATTTTGATGCAAACAGGTAAATCTCTACTACATGCAGAACGTATAGATGAAATTGTGGGTCGAAACTGGTATTCTATTTTTTCACTTTCAACAAGAAACAATCGCTTATTAAAAGTAATCTGGTGATTTTTTGTTGTATCTATAAGTCCCTAGTTGCTCTATCTATATGCACTAGGTTTAAAACAGAAGACAAGCACCAAGCCCTACATTGATTCCTCAGGAAACCAATGGTCAGCTTGGCCCAAATTGTTTGGAACATAAATACTTAGTTGAAACTTGAATCCAATGACCTTCAACAGCTATACTCAACTTTTAGGTAATAGGAGTTAAAGACACAAAAATCTAGAAACAATAAATAAAATAAAATAAAGTTTAAAGTATCAACATTTAAAAGTTACCTGGTCATCTAACCATGCCACACCTATGGCTGCACTCTCAAGGGACCACTTGCCACATACTTTAAGCTCTGCCTTCACCAACTTTGCTACTTGAACCATTTTATCCCAGGCAATTGCAAGCAAAGAAACCCTTTCTACTGCCTCAGAAGGTGAAGTTTCTGCCATAATATAAATCTTAGGGCCAGATATAAAAACTCAAACACTCAAAATCCTTTTCTTTAAAGAAGAAAATCACATTGATTAAATGAAATCACAAGGTAAAGGCCTGAGTCAAAGGAGTTGCAAAAATCTATCAATTGACACAAACCATGTGAATTGAATGGTTACGAAGACCCTATTTTAGGTGCTCTATAAGGAAGAAATGAAAACACAATTCTTCCACTCGACTCGAACCCTCTCCAAAGAAGATTCTTCTATTCCTCTTCAATCATCCCTCGAACAAAACAGTCTGATTGCATTAAGCTACAGACTAAAATAATATATTTCATTATGTCCGGTTTAATTTTTTTTTTAACCAATCTAAATGAAATTAGAACTCACTTTACCATAATTGAAACAACAAAAATTGATCATAAATAAAAGTAAAGTATTCACACTAGCTTGTAAAAAATGAAAATAACTGACATCAACTTTGATAGGAAACTCTAGTTGGTTTAGAATTTGACCTGAAATAATGAGACTAGTTTGTCTTGATACGCTTAAAATTGATTAAAGGTTGAGAAACAACCATACAAGATACCTCTTTGAAAGTAATCTGATTCCTTTCTTATATTCCTGCCACAATTACACTCCTAAAGGCATCACCAAGCACATGTACGAAAATATACAGAGGCTGGTAAATGAGAGACGTGTGATGTATATGATAAGTAAATTTGGTGTTACATAGTTAGTTTTAAGGACTCCGGGGCTGGTTTTTTTGTATGCTCTTGTTTTTACTTGAAAGTTGGTTTTTCATTAAAAAATTAAATTAAAATAAATACAAAATAAACAAATAATAAAATATTAAAAAAAAAAAAGTAAAGCAAAGTAAATCACTACACCCAGTGACAACGAGATACTACTCAGGATTTTAGTAACATTTTTCAGAACTGCACTTATAAGTTACAACTACAACCTGACTTAAATGTAAAAAAAGCATTGCGCCAAACAAGAAACATTTTTTTCTGTTTCCAACAACAGAGAACCATTTTAGCAAGATTTCCATTTCTTTCGCGTCTCAAAAATGTGATCCAGTTCACTCATCATATTAAACTTGAATTTTACAAATACCATATCCATTCCATAAATGGTTGATGTCGTAACTCATAGCAAGGGCAGTAAAGTCATACCAAAAGACTGTGAGCATTTCCACGCAGTGTAAGGCATAGAACCTTCCCGAACACCATCCGGCTTGGAGAGCTGAGCATACACTTCCAAAGTGGGACTCAGCCTCACCTGAAACAATCTCAAGTGAATTGAAGAAATTAGAGAACAAACAGCCTCAAATATCATCAACTTACAATTATGAAATAAAAATAAATTTGTGCTATTATCAAGGGTCCATACCACCAGAGCAGTTTGATGGGTAGCAAATATGACCACACCTTCTTCAACCAAAGAAGAACCTTCATTAAAGAGTTTCCAGCCTGAATCTCCTCCAACAACCCCTCCCATCATGCTCCCAATACTGCTGGTTGAGACTGCGACGTTTGCAAGAGTTGGTGGCAAAGAACTTCCACAGGATTCATTCAAAAGAAGTGCTGAAGCTGATAGAACAGTCCCCGTTTTTTGCCCATCAAGAAGACACTAATTCAGTAAATTAACACCCAATCACAATTCAGAACGATTTATTTGTTGATAGTCGTGAACCCTTATAGAGTAAGCATTTCAATTGCAACAACAACCCCTATAATGAACTTCATTCTGATGGCAACATAACCCATATAATTAACTTAATGATGTAAATTAATTTTCTACCTGAGTTTTAATGGAGAATCTATTTAGCAGAGGAACCACTGAGAACGTATGTAACAAAACCAGACCCTTGCTATCACCAGTAACTGCTTTAAATTGTCGAGTAACCTGAGCATCCTGCCCAAGGAACAACGAATGAACAACTGGTGATGTGTGTTCTCCCGAAATGATTTTTGCTGCTGATGCCCTCAACACATCCCAGACTGTAATATGACCATCGTTGTAACCAGCTAGGAGCAGGTCCCCTTGCAGATTAAAGCAAAGAGATGTTACTGGTGCAGTTGATTTATCTCCTTGTAATCCAAGCAGTAGCATCTATATATGCACACAGAGTGGTTCAGCATATCAAAATATCTTAATAAATGAAAAAGGTAACAAAAAAAACACTAAGACCAATAAGGATGTTCAGGATCTTGTCAATCAAATACAAAAAAATAAAATGTCAGTTTCTCAGCTTGGCGTGAAAAGATGATATAACTCTTATCTTTAAGAAGAAAAATCTCTTTTATTTCAAAAATAAACTAGATAATTCCATTAAACAGTGATGGATACAAGAGGATAAAGCATCCACCTCTGCCGAGAGTTACAAAAAGGCATCCCAATCAGCAGCAACCACAAAAACATCATTATTAGAGAAAGAAGTTGACAAAAGTATACCAAATTGAAGCAAAAACTGCATTTATGTCCTCAAAGTAATCAAGAGTTGTAACTCTCTCCTCAAAAATTATTTGGTTCTTTAAACTGCAAGTTTCCCACAAGAGAGATTTTTTTTTTTTTATAAGAAACATCAAAGCACTTTTATAAATGAAGAAGCATAGATACAAAAAGCAGCTTTGGGGCAGGGGAAGAGAAAACCCCCTCCCAAAAGCTAGTGAAGGATAGCTCTCCAATCTCGAAGTAACGATGAGAGGCTATAATTACAAAAGAATTTTCTATGCCTATAGCACCACCAAGATGAGTGTAATTGAATTGTATTACAAAAGTTTTCAAAAGTAGATGACTTATCCTCGAAGATTCTGTTGTTTCTTTCCATCCAAATATTTCATAAAAGAGCTCTAACTGCATAGTTCCACAAAATCTTTGCTTTTCTCTTTAGGTGCCACCCTTGAAGAGCTTCATGAAGCCACTCATCTATCTTTTTGGGCAAACAGAAGGAAAGACCAAAGATTTGGAACAGAAAGGACCACCCCTGTTGAGCAAACCGGTAGTGAATGAAAATGTGATCCATAGACTCCTCATTTTGTTTACACATAACACACAGAGAAGTGAGAAATCATAACCTTTTTTCCCCTACTTCAAAGCCCTTTATCATACGCTTTTCACAACAAAGATGAACCAGCCTGCTAAAAGAGTCACCCACAAGAGTGAAAAGGAAAGGAGAAAGAGGATCTCCTAGTCTTAAACCTCTTGTCGCCTTGATTTTGCCCCTTGGCCTGCCATTAATAATAATCGAGAAATTTGCTAAGGATAAGCAACCCCTAATCCACATTCTTCAACGTTGACCAAAGCCTTTTTTCTCCGACACCGCGTCAATAAAATCCCAATCTACTTTGTCATAAGCTTTCTTATAGTCAAGTTTGAGAAGAAAGCCTGATTTGTTTGAAGACTGGAAATCACCCACCGCCTCAGCAGCAACTAAGATGGCATCCAAAATCTGTCTTCCTTCCACAAAGGCTGTTTTGGCGTCTGCTATAATGGAAGGAAGGACCTTTTTGAGTCTGTCGGCCAGGACTTTTGCAATGATCTTGTACAAGGAGGAAATCAGACTTATGGGATGATAATCACTGACTCTGTTCGCTTGCAGTTTCTTTGGAATTAAATACACATAAGTCTCATTAGTGCGCCCACAAGAGAGATTTAGTCATATTCTTCCACAAGATCTTGGATTTGCCTTTCAAAAGATGGTCACGCAGATGTAGTAACGAGCCATCTTAACTGCTTCTTGGGAAAACACAAAAGAGAGAGCAGAGCACGTGAGGAGCCTACCCCAATTAGAGGTGAACCGTGATGAAGAGGGTCGTTCTGAACTTCAGATACCATACTAACTGTGATCCAAAGAGCATTTGAGGATCTATTTTGCAGTCTGTAAGAGGTGTTTAATCCTTCCAACACTAGGGTTGAGAGAAGGAGCTTTTCTTCTTGGCCCTTCATCCTTCCAAGTAGAGAATATGATCAAAAGGAAGGGGGCTCAAAAACATAATTTTACAGGTGAACCCTACCAGAACTATCCAATTCAATCTTCTAGCACCAGGAAGTTGTTTTGCATGAAATGCTTTATCCCCAAATGTGAAAGGGCTCTTCTTAACTGCATAGCCTTCACAACTTTTGGAGTTTGCTGACCAAAACAGCTTCAGAAAACAAACCTCATGCAGATAATTGCTGATCCAAGTATTGTTCCAATAACTTACGTCTCCTCTGCCTACCATAAAAAAATATCAATCCCCCACAGCCTGACAGCATTTCAAGATGTAGCCCCATGGAAGAAGAAGAAGAAAAAAAACATGTAGCCCCATGATTTACAGTGCTTGACCTATTCTTGAAGGGAACAAACCAACTCCAAGTTTAGTTCTATATCTGCAAACAATTCATTTACGCCTAATACCACCCTGATCAGAACTAAAACACCACTTCCATTTAGCTAGTAATGCATAGTTCCTTTTTCTTTTCCAAATTATCGATGCTAAGCTTGACCCTGTTTAGTTCTATGTAATTTTCTTGTTTAGATTCTGTACTTTTGTCTTTACGTTTCCTTTTCACTCTTTCGAGAATTTGTATCCTTTGAACAATTATTGTTCCTTTTCATTTCATCAATGAAATGTTAGTTTTTGTTCAAAAAAAAAAATATTTCGATGCTAAGCTGCCCTTGTCAACAGGTTAGCAAATGTTAACCCAGTAAATATGAGATGGCTACATCCCTCATTATTGGATCCTTTTTCAGGAGAGAATCTGGGACTTTCTGGAAGGAAGAAGTTCCTCCATTTCCTGGCCTGGTTAAGATTCTTCCATCAATATCTTTTTTTTTTTATAAGAAACTTTATATTAGAAAAACTCAAAAGGGGAACAGCCTAAGGGCTGGGGTAGAGTCAACCCCACCCAGAGAAGCTATACAAAAGCTTTCCAATTGTGTAAGAAGGTGGAAAGATTGTAATTACAAAAGAAATTGTTATAGTTAAGGCAGCACCAAGAAGTGGTGTGTTGAACACCACTACAAAAAGATTCAAAAGTAGAGTTCATATCTTCAAATATACGACGATTTCGTTCTCCCCATAAATGCCAAAGAAGAGCCCCTGTAGCGCAATTCCAAATTACCCTTGCTTTTTTGGGAAGAAACCATCCGATTAGCAATTCAGGAAGCCACCCATCAATCTGCTGAGGAAAGCATAGGGAAATGCCAAAAGAGTTCAGAATAAAGGACCAACATCTTGTTGCAAAGGTACAGTGAATGAAAAGGTGGTCAATGGTCTCCTCCCCACAAAGGCAAAGACTACACACCGAAGGGGAGAGTGCCCAACTTGTGTTTTTCTTTTGGATGTTCTCGTGAGTATTTAAGCTTCTGTAAGCCATTGACCAAAGAAAAACCTTAATTTTCTTTGGAATTTTGAACTTCCATATGGAATCGATGAGGGGGACCTTCAGCAAGGGAGTACATTCTGTTAATTTCAAAATGGCTGATCTGGTGGTAAAATTTTGCTCTTTTTCCAACATCCATAGAGATTTGAAAAAGTGGCATATGTGGCCTATGTGCATTAGACCCATTTCAATATCAGAAAAGAAGATCAGGCCACCACCTAGCTGAATGCCCAAGTAGCATATGTAATTGGCCCAAAATACACCCCAAAGTAGAAGCTTGGTTCTTGGTTAATATTACCATCAATTTTTTTTTTTTATCAGAAACATCATTGTATTAAAGGAAAAGTATACGGCCTAAATGACAGGGGATTAGAAAGGCCCCTCCTTACAGAAAACTAATCAATATTGATTACCTATGATCAAAGACTTGAAGATTAACTTTAACCAAAAGGAAGCTCAAATATTTTGATGGCTTTAAGGATTTTATCAAGCATACCTTCTTTATGTGTAGAAACAATAAGGTATGACTTGCATATTGAAGATGGTTAGTATAAATGGTATCTTTTCCAATGAAAAGGCTCTCATGGAAACCAATATGCACACCTTAGTCCATCAAACTGCAAGAACATCTGGTATGGTAAAAAAATGCACCAACAAAGACCACTAAAAGCTTTAAACTTTCCACTAGGCTTACCACTGAGGAAAATCAAGAAAGTGGTAGAGCAGCATCTAAAAATCCATGATGTACACTAAGCCCCAAACCCCTTATTTCTAAGAACAACCAAGAGGAAATCCAGTCAACTAGATAATAAACCTCCCCTTCTAGGAAGAGCTATAAGTCGAAGGTTTGAACTTCTGATTAAAGAAAAACCAAGCTATTCCACCTAGGGTCCATCTGAAGCTAAGTAAAGCCAAGACTCTTGAGCTAGCTTGCACACTTCAACAAAAAAAAAAACAGCTCTTATTTACTTTTGAGCCGTGAATTAGAATAGATACAGCTTGATCCATCTTCGCCAAACTCCAGTCATTGCTACGAAAAGATTGGTCAAATCTTCTTGGTTTAAGGTTCACACAATTTTGTTTGCTTGTTCATGCTTCTTGCTCTTTCTACTGAATAGTATGTTAAAAACCTTTCTATTACACCTCAAAACAGGCTACTTATAGCATCACGAGAAAATAGCTAATTAGTTCTAAAAAAATAATTAACAAGTTAATAAAACGAATTAACAACTTAACTAATATTAACTAAATTACCATAAACTAATATATTAATCATCCCACATCACTCACCAATTATGCAACCATGAGTTCCACTTGCATCAGTAACACAACTTGCACCTATTGAACAAGATATCAAACATGCATTCATTTTCACGATTGCAGCTCCATAAACCTCTCACATTCATTCAAGTTCTAAGTATGCATAAAGAAACTCATATAACAGATACACCAAGAAAAAGCCACACATTGAGTAGATACAAAGTTGACCTTCGCATCCATGTTGTCGCCATTTTGAGCTGAGTATTTACTAGCCACCACAACAATATTGCCTTTTGACATTCCAACTGCAATATAATTAGCATGAACAGCCAAGACTTGGGGAAAACCATGCTCACGCTTGAATGAATGTGATGAAATAGTTCTTGAAATACTATTGTCAGCTTGAATGTCGAAGTACCCCAATGTAGTTGAACCCCCCTTAATACCTTCGAGCTTCATTGGTTGAGCAGCAACGCCTTCTTCCCAATGCAAAGCAGTGAAAGCCTGCTTCTTTTCAATTTCTTCAGCCGCTTCGAGTGGATTAGTGGAGGGCAGGAGCATCATTTCTGCTTGTTCACTAATTGTCGAGTCGTCCATATGCTCAGTTGTCTCCCCCAATTCACTGATATCGTTCACAACACTGGGATCCTTAATGACAAGATCCACCTCCGTATCTTTTGACTGTTGAAGACATTTCTTGAAATCTTGAGTTTCCCACTCCAGGCTCCCATAGTCCACAGCAGATCCATCATTGTCAGGTTCGGACGAACTCGGAATAGCCCCTTCATTTGATTCATCGACATCCAGGATTGATGGGCGTAGTTCCGTCGAACAAACATTTTTTTCAGCATAATCAGACACGCTTCCATCGTTAGCTTCCACCGGCGGGAGAATTGTAGTGCTCTCGTCGAAATTCACATCATCCACGGACCTCTGTTCTGCTACGCATTTCAGACCTTTAGTTATACGAAACTCATCATTATCTGGGACATCATCCCGAATTCTATCTCTCGCCCAAACTCCATCTCCGACGTTTATTGATGCAACCTGATAATCAGCATCCGTGTCGTCCATAACAGTTGAATTCTC